TATATGAACCCTAATTGTTAGAATTCCATCTGATGTTGCAATTATGCAATATTCTGAAGTATAACATAACACAGTGACACACCTTCTGGCTAGGAAGTTGGACATAGATTTTTAGCTAACCTTAAATTGTACCTTCTGAAGGAAAATACTATATATCTATATTAAATTTATTTATCAAATTCTATATTATTATATTATCAAATTCTATATTAAATCTATATCAAAATAAAAATGGGATATTCAATTTTAGTTTCAAACCAAATATAGGGTTTGGCAAGTTCAAGCTTGCAGTTCAGAGTTCACCCAATACTGCAGGCTGCAGTGGATTTTTCCAACCTAATTTAAGTCTTTACAGTTTACACTTCTATCATATCATGCACAGTTAAACCTCCAGCTATACTTTCTGTCTTCTGCCGTCCAACTTCCTACTCATCTTACTGATTTCCACTATATATTCTAAATTTAAATCTTCATTCATTGCAACCAGCAAATTACTGCTTACCGGTAGCCACTGTGAAAATTCTTGCATTTAATATATTTGTCGGTCTTCGGCCAACTATTTAGAAAAAAGTAAGGTTTCCGGTACGGGTGGTACGTTGGATGGATCAGGATGCAGTAAAGCTTGTCCGGAAATTGGTTGCGATGAGTTCCCGCCAAAAAAATGTAAACAAAATGTAGTTGCGGTCACATTAGAGTGGTCAGACTGCATCATCACATGTTCAGTTGACACTTGCTGTACAATCGGACTGTTTTTAAGGTAAAATTAGTTATTTGGGGTAACACGTGCACCTTGTAAATAAGTTCGTGGCTTGTAAATAGTTTTTCATTATTCAACGTAAATGGCTTTTCATTGAAAAATACCCGGCCACGCATCTTGAAAATGGTTGGCGATGCTTTGGGCTTGAAAATCCATATAATGATATATTGGCAATGCTGCTTCCATCTTCTGCACCCTGGACCGGTAGGCTATTACACTGGGCATTAAAAACTTCAGGTTGGTTGTTTACTCTAGCTTTGATTCAAATATCAAAATAATAGCTGCACATAGCCTATTGACATACATTACCAGTTTGACATTTGATTGGAGTGTAATTAAATTTACATTTCCTAGTCTTTAGTATCTTCATGTTGCACCCACCCCACCTGGACAGCTGTGGTTGACGGCTTGATGCTGCTTTGATCATGTGTGTACTATATAAATTGATGTATTCATTGCGTCACATTCATGTCACCTAACTGAACTGAGCACCTGAGAGCCAATCCAACCTGAAGCCATCAAATTAACCTTACTTGCAATTGAATGAATCGATCTACATTATACTAACAATTGAACTGCTGTGCTGCTACAGGCATGGAATATATCTACTTGGCAAGCTGTGACTGGATTTTTCGAGCCGTGGTTTTATGAGTTTGCCAGCCGCAATTCCATTTTTTTGACTGATGATCCCATTTCTTCGAGCCATGAATTCCATATTTTGGCCATGAAAAGCCATTTACAAGCCGCAAACTTATTTTCAAAGTCTCATGCACTATTACCCCAAATCTTTAATTTCACCCTAAAAACAGTCATCAAACAGACACACTAACATTTGTCTTGAGTCTTGACTTTAGTGACAACTGAACACATGATATTGCAATCTGACCATTCTGACATGACCGCAAGGTAACATTTTGGATGTTGAAACGACGCAATCTTCAAGGAACCATTTTGGATGTTGAAATGACATGTTTGCGAAGTGCAAATGGCAATTTTTTCAATCAAACAAAAATACATGACATAAGAGAATAAGAAATGACATAAGAAATTTCATACCTACTGAAATTATATATAAGAGCCACGATATTTCAGAAAAAATAGGACTTTTCCAGCCCTGTGCTGCTACAATAGTGGCTGTTGGCTTTTTTTGAAAAAACTTTTAAACTTGCCCTATTGGATCATCCTAACATTTGTTTTGGACAAACCTTGCACTATGCTTCCAAACTTTCCTGTTTGTTTGTTTGTTGAATAAAATATTTGATTTTTTTGATTGTGTAAATTCCTTGCAATTGGACTCATCTTCCAAATAATTGAATTTTCGATACTAATATGATACGCAGGAATGTTGCTCCCACACCTCCCAATAGAGTAGCTAATGCTATTTTGCGCATCTGGCATTTAACTGATGCAAATTCCTTGCTTCAAACTTTGCACGGATTTTGTTTACCATATTGCGTTACTCTGTAGCGGCTACGTAGTTCAATTTTATCTCATTTATTATTTTGTGCATCTTGCAAAATTATTGGCAATTTTTGTGGCTTAAATAACCTGCAGACTTCCATACCAGGCACATGAATTCATCTGAAATACTGTTTTATCAACTCAGAGGCTGGGAATGGACATAACTTAGGTTATTATTGAACTTGCCCTTGGGCCTTGGGTATTACAAATTGACCTACTTCATAGCTTTCTCAAGTTTCACTTCCACTCACAGACAAATTCAAATTTATGGTATATCAAGTTTACTACTTGTAGACCAAACTGGAAAAACAGGCAAAACCCACTCTTGAATGAGATAAAATCACCCTTATTCAAGGACCAAAGATAATTTAATCTATTTCTCTCGCACCCTTTGCCAAATTTATTTTGTGAAAATTAAGAAAATTTACCCACTTTGGTGTGAATTTTTGGAAAATTCTGCCCCATATTCCTGATGGGCTTGTGGAAGGCTGGAAGCACAGCAATTATTTATGATGTATGATCCAGGGTGCAGAGTTTGATAAATGCTTTGCCAATATTTGCATTTGTTGACCAAAAATGTTACCAACCCACATGACAAAGCAGAGTTTTTATACTGTTCCTCAAGTTTGAATCCTATAAGTAGACCAGTATCATGGATACCACTCATACATGGATACCACTCTTACCAGCATTATCATACATAAGATTTTGGTTTAAATCCTGATTAAATGAGGAAATTATAAACAAACTGATTCAAAAAAATCTCTGGTTTTCACTATGCATACCCAAGATGTGTCACCTTGTCACCTGCAGTCGTCAAGATGCATTGCAAATATAATTTGCATAAAATTCCTACAGAACCAACTTTGATGAGTGTATCTGTATTCGATCACCTCCCAGGTATTGCAGCAGACAATTGCATTGCAACTGAAATTACCACATTGTGGATTGTGCATCAATTGACAAACTGGAAATTAGAACTTTAAAAACTATGCAGCACCTTGTGTACCTCCTGCTCTGCTATTAGCATTGCCAAATATTTGCAACTATCTAAAAGGCAAAGATTTCAATCCAAATGTGCTGGCAAGATCTTCTGAAGGCATAAATTTTGCTGCTGTTGAGTCACAAAAGATCTTCAGATATTCACTCACTTTCTGAACCTTGGTATATGATGACATATTAGTTGATGGGATCATAGTCATGAAGATATTTGTATTCACAGTGTAAGTTTTTGACCTGTGCAGTTGGTCAAAATATGTTTGGAAAATGATCTGTCATATCATAACATAACATAGTGATGTTGGTGCTGAAGAGTAGGCCTGATGTTGCCTGTTGCCTATTTTTGTATTTTTCGTGACTTGTCCGCAGGAGATCTAAAAACAGGTCCTCCATCCAGATCTTTTCCAAACTGACAATAGTTTTGTGTAGCTAGTATACCATTGGCTTAAACTAAAAATATTCTAAACTCGGATGTACTTCTGCGTGCTGCTAGCCTTAGTGTCTTGAAAACTTTGCCCTATCCTCCCCCCTCTCCCTAGTTGTTACTTATAGGATCCAATAAAAATCATGGCATGTGGGCAATTGTGTCCAACATGTTAGTGAAAAAGTAATTTTATATACAATTTTCAAAAAACACCTATGATATTTCCCAAGAAAAAATTGTCAGATAATTTGACTGTTATTCCTCCTCTAGCTATCTATCATCCATTTTGCTTGGTTTCTGTACTGTTTGTATGGTATTGTAGTCTCTGTCAATTGCAATTGGCAATATTGGTCATGAATTTATGTTATGGTATAATCAGCAACCACCAACTACTGTCTACTATGTTTGAACCTTGATGTCTTTAAATCCATGAATTGGCAACTTCAAAGCAATATGCATCTTCAATCTATGTTGTGCATAACTTGACATTCTTAGACATGAGCACAGATAGAATTTTCTGTGAACTTGTTCAGTTTTTTCATGTTTACTGCCTCAACCAGTCAACCTAGGGTTTTTTGCCCATTTTTGCAGCTCATATGGGGTTCTCAGTATGACAGGTTCCCTATAGTATGTTCTAAATCAAAAGTGATAAAAATTTTCAAGTTAAATAGCTACAAAAAATATTTTAGTTAATTTTGAAGCCTGAGGCTCCAAAGTCACAAGTTTTTCTTAAATCTTTAAACTGGTAGTTTGTGAACATCTTGGTGAGGAATTTTTTGAAATCTTTCTCTGATAACAATGACATCAGAAGGCCGAGACCTCATCAGCTAATGTGCCTTTAAATTGAAGAGAAAAATTTGTTTATTTATATTCTTGGGGTAGAATTGGTAATTTTGATGAAGAACCCACCAAGTTATTAGCTCGGACATTTGTATGAGGTGTATATTCTTTGCTGCTGGAAGATAAACATGCATGTGGCTCAGGATGTTTATACATACTGTCCAGTAGGAATTTCACTTGTAGCTATTGTTTGGACTTTAGAGTGTCAAATGTATCTGCACTTTGTTATGCGCAACTATCAGTCAAGAGAAATTAAATAAGTTCTGCCCATATTTAGGAATAAATAAATTATAAATATGTAAATGATTGATGAAAATCATTAAAATCTTATAATTATTTACTGCATGTCAGGTTAATATGCTTTTTCATGGCTTCTAAAGCTGTATATGAAAGTTCAATAAATTGTCAAAACTTTCTTATGCAGATTTTCTGGTAAAAAGTATTTCAGGTGTTGGTAATCTGCCATCATTAAATACAATCCTGTCCCGTAATATATTTGAGTGCTGGGTTTTGCTGCGCCAACTCCCTGCAGCTGCCGTAGGGAGGGGCTGGTGTGCCATGCCAAGCCTCGCTCAAGTGTGTGCTGATGCTGCCATGGTTGTATGTAGTAGCTCTGTTCATGGTTGAAAATTGAATCTGAGGTTTTGTCCATTTATATCCAGGCATAAATGTCCATTTAAAACTATATGTACCATTAACCTATTTGGGGAATGAAATAAAATTTTCATAGTTGAGCAAGCATTTTTCCTGAGGAACATCTATCACCTTCACTATTTCCTTTTTGAAGGTTTGAATGCTAGGGCTGCCTCATCAACATCTGAAGTTCCAATTGAGAACATCAAGGAGGAACTGTTTGATGCAATGGAGATTGTAAGTGTAAAGGAAGAAAGGAAGAGCCATTCAATTATGATGAAAATTTTCACAAATTAGTTGGCATCCGGTGTCTTGAATATATTCCAATCTTCCATAAAATTGAATAAAACAGTGGATGCAAGAATGTATATATTTATGATAGATTATTTATATGATTGTAAAGAAAATTAACAAGTGATTCCAAGTGAATCTTCAAAAATGTTTAAACACATAATGGTAGTTGATAAGCACTCACAAAATGAGGAGCATCAAAATTGATTAATAAATTTTCTCAATTATTTTTGGAACAAAATTTCCTATATTAATTCTTATGAGTGCAATTATTTTCACCTGTTGGGGCAGGCATGTGAGCCGCCCAGCCCTGGTTGTGGGAACCCGTCAGTCCCTCCTCCCCCGCTGTGTGTGCCCTGCAAGAGAGAAGCGCCAAGTGAGGCTCATGAGGCTCCCTACGCCCCCCAACAACCCTCAGCCATGGCAGGGGTGAAAAGACAAAAGGTATGTACTGTTTGTCAGGCGGAAAATCATCATTTTGTGAGGTGTTGACCCTCAGTTAACATTGTATGAAGGAAAGATTATAGGTAATTAATGAATATTTATAATCTCCTTGCTGCTCAAATCATGACATGAAGTTTCAATATTAGGTACAAGTCATGAAAATGTCATGTTCAGTTGCTCAGCATTACTGAGCGTAGCAGTTCATTTACTTGTTTTACGAAGTTTTCATGTTGCTTGAATTCTCAAGGGATTTTTTTCTGACGCTCATCTTAAGGCAGGTGGCTTTAAGACAAATTTCTGAGCGGCCTTGGCAAGCATAGAAAAATTTAAAATGACTCTCGTTTCTTGTATATTGAGGATATTCAATACACCTGGACAACATTGGAATAAAGATTTTATGAATACATTTTGCTTTGTATAATTTTCTGTTCAAATTATGCATTTGTTGCCATCTGCTTACAAGTAACCAGATAATTGCTGAAATTACCTGCCATGAAGTGACCTGTCTCGGTGTGAGCAGCGCAGCAGCGGCGCGTCGTCCACGGCTGGGGGAGCTACAGCAGCGGCTGGTGGCAGTGGCCACGTCTCTGCAGCAGCGGCTGATGGCGGTGGCCAAGTCTCTGCATCATCCAGCTCCAAGCATTTCACCCAGCAGCTGCAGCACCATATTACTGTAAATATGGGTGCGTCACACAACAGCAACTAAAACTTCATATTTTATCCAAACATTCAACAGAGAAACCTTTCAACTGTACTGAATGCTCATATGCTTGCGTCCGAAAACGAGATCTAAGTAGCCATGCCCTTCGTAAGCATTCTAAAAAATATTGATAACTGCTGGATATTGTCATGGTGCTAACTGCTGGATATTGTCATGATGCCATCTGCTGGATATTGTCATGGTGTCAACTGCTGGATATTGTCATGGTGCCAACTGCTGGATATTGTCATGGTGCCAATTGCTGGCTATTGTCATGGTGCCAACTGCTGGATATTGTCATGGTGCCAACTGCTGATTATTGTCATGGTGCCAATTGCTGGCTATTGTCATGGTGCTAACTGCTGGCTATTGTCATGGTGCCAACTGCTGGCTTTCGTCATGATGCCAACTGCTGGATATTGTCATTGTGCTAACAACTGGACGTTGTCACGATACCAACTTCTAGATATTGTCATGGAAACTTTTGCCAACTGCTCACTAGTAAGTATTAGTCCGTTTGAAATATATAAAGACTTTTTTGTGTGGACAGAAGGGACTTTCAACAATACGCACAATTGAGGTCCAGAAGACTTTAGCTTAAGAGCTGGTTTACAGAATAATAGGCTTAAGTTTAGGGGCAGGATCACAGCATACTAGGCTTAGCTTAGGGGAAGGATTACAGCATACAAGGCCTCAGCCAGGGGGCAGGATTACAACATACAAGGCTTTAGCTTAGGGGCGGAATTACAGCTCAAAATTCTTTGTCTGAGGGGCAGGATTAACAACATAAAAGGCACTAGCTTAGGGCGGGATTACAGCATGCAAAGCTTGAGCTTAGAGAGAGAAGTGAGGGTAAATTTGTTGGTCTGCCCACCAATTGTCAGAGGGACGGGTGGCCCTTGGGTGCGGTTCATGGGAATTGCCAGCCTGGCATCAATTATTGCAGCAACTGCGGTGGTGGTTGTTGCCTTTTTCCATCCTGGCTCGACAATTTTTTTGTAAATTTTAGCTGAGGAAAAACTCTGACTGTAACTTTGTATTATTATGAATATATTTTAGTTTTAATTTCATTTGAATGTAAGTGCTTGCCATGCTGGATGCTGCCAATGGCAGGGCTTATATAACTGATGTTATTCAAGTTAACTTCTAGTTTTAGTTCTGACAAAAGTGTTTTTGTGTAGAATGCAGACCAGGCAAAGGATGAAATAAAAAGACCTAATATCATGGCGACTATTCTTTTTTGCATATCCTTGTTCAAGGCAGCGAACCCATAAGTGCGAAGCGCATAAGTTCAATGATTCTGATCAGGTAGGTATGGATGAGATGTAAAGTATTTTTACCTATGCAATTCTTGTAGTTTAGTACATTAAAGCAAATTTTTTTAAAATGCTAAGAGAAGTTTGTTTGACTTGGTTATTTGTCAATGTGACATAATGAGTTTACTTGAGCTGGTGCAACTTAACCCTCTTAATCTAACCTTATGAAAAATTTGTTTTTATATAATAGTTACCTGACTAAAATATTTTGACTATTCTTGTGTCAGCACATTTATATTAATGCATTTTAATTTTCAACTCCCTTGTCAGATGTATCGTGGAAATAAGACAGGCGTATTTTGGTATAATTAACCTGGACTAATAAGAAATGATCTGGACTATTAGGGCGGGATTACAGCATGCAAAGCTTGAGCTTAGAGAGAGAAGTGAGGGTAAATTTGTTGGTCTGCCCACCAATTGTCAGAGGGACGGGTGGCCCTTGGGTGCGGTTCATGGGAATTGCCAGCCTGGCATCAATTGTTGCAGCAACTGCAGTGGTGGTTGTTGCCTTTTTCCATCCTGGCTCAACAATTTTTTTTGTAAATTTTTAGCTGAGGAAAAACGCTGACTGTAACTTTGTATTATTATGAATATATTTTAGTTTTAATTTCATTTGAATGTAAGTGCTTGCCATGCTGGATGCTGCCAATGGCAGGGCTTATATAACTGATGTTATTCAAGTTAACTTCTAGTTTTATTTTTGACAAAAGTGTTTTTTGTGTAGAATGCAGACCAGGCAAAGGATGAAATAAAAAGACTTAATATCATGGCAACTATTCTTTTTTGCATATCCTTGTTCAAGGCAGCGAACCCATTAGTGCGAAGCACATAAGTTCAATGATTCTGATCAGGTAGGTATGGATGAGATGTAAAATATTTTTACCTATGCAATTCTCGTAGTTTAGTACATTAAAGCGAATTTTTTTAAAATGCTAAGAGAAGTTTGTTTGACATGGTTATTTGTCAATGTGACATAATGAGTTTACTTGAGCTGGTGGAACTTAACCCTCATAACCTAACCTTATGAAAAATTTGTTTTTATATAATAGTTACCTGACTAAAATATTTTGATTATTCTTGTGTCAGCACATTTATATTAATGCATTTTAATTTTCAACTAGAACGACCAAGGAATTGACAGAGTTTTGCCATAGGCACTTGTGCAGAACATATGCTTGAGTTTGCTGGTGAGTTCAGAGAAATGAAGAATCAGTGTTAATACAAGAAATTTGATACTTATAATTTATGTTGTGTTTTGGAGGGTATACAGCTTAATTGGGCTGAGTGCTAAAATAGGAGCAGTAAGTTTTGAGTTTGATCCCAGCTTCTTGTGACGGTTTTGGTCAGAATTGGCATGGTAGCCCGGTTTCTCATAACCGCTAAATTTGAGCACTGAATTGCGTTTCTGAAAGCATAGCAAATTGTAATTATTAATTGGTGACAGGAATGAGAAAATCAGTTATTGGAATGATTCAAGATTTAGCCTCTTCACCGCTGATATTAATATTATGACAGAAAGTTTAAAATTGAAATGGACATTATTATTATGGGGATTTTTTATTTTGAAATATAAATGTGAGAATATACTGCCTATCCATAATTCCACACTGCTGATGAGACTACAGATGGTGAGTTGCCTCTACCAGACTTGTCATTCCCAGATGGACCATCAGTTGAGAAATGTCAGTAGGAGAATACCCACGACTGATACCAGTTTTTAGAGTCCCTCAAGTTTGTAAATGAAAAGCCAAAATTACTAAGGAGCAGTCAAGCCGGAGGAGGAATAATTACACCTGTGGATTTCAAGTAGACCTTGAACATGCTGTTGGGCTCAGTTCAGTTGGACAAAGTACCAGCACTAGTGGATCAGAACAATCAGCCCCAGTTATACAAAACTTACCAATATCTACCCCATTGCTTTAAACTCATTGTCAAAATTTGCTGAGATATTAGACAGCTTACTCAAGACCATGTTGATTGAACCAGTGGATATGCCTGAGAAGTTAGGAAGTTCTTTGCAAATAATATTAGATCAGATAGAGAAATAGATAAATCTCCATTTGGCAAAGAAAAGATATCATCAGTCAATAAAAATTAAGCCAGAGGTTTACTCGTTATAACCTTGTGTGAGTTAAGGAAGAGGAATTTTTCAATCTTCTGTCAGTTACATCTATTGGGAATAAGGTTTTAAGATGCTGGCTGCCATAAATAAAATTACTGACTCGTAGAGTTATTGTCCCAGTTGGTATGGAGACCATGGCAGAGGGAATTTTTGAAGAAATAAAAAACTTCATTCCAATGTACTGTCAGTCAGGCAAAGCATGATAGATAAAAACCAGGATCCTACTCCTACTCAGTGTATGCAGCGAATTTATGCAGGTAAACAGTGGCCTGAATATTATGCATTGGGTACCAGAGTTTTCAGGTGCGGCTCTGCAACTAAATGTGGGATTTGCTTAGGTGCCCACGGATACCAGGATTGCCCAAACAGAAACACAGGAAGCCCCAAGTGTGCCAACTGCCAAGGGAGCAACACAGCAAGCTATGGAGGATGCCCTAAAATGAAAGCAGCCAAATCAGTAAAGTGAGGGCAGAAGAAAAACTTGTACAACCTGGCATCAGCATAAGCTGTTCCTGCTTGTACTGATGCTCAATGCCCCGTGCCTGAACACTCAAGTGGATCCCCCATAGTAATTATCTGCATCAGATTTGAAAGATGCCCACTAACTAATTATTTTGTCTATTCTACCTTGCAGCCTTTACCAGTTGGTGAGAGTGTGTCAGAAATTAAGCTAAAACAAAAAGTGGTGAGATAATATAAAGACTTGACATTAATAAAGTTGTGCACAGGCTGAGCTGGGAGGTGTCAGGATTGGAATATTCCAACTTATGAATTGAATCTTGTGGCTCTAAAGTAAGAAATTTTTTATACATTTGAAATCTTGGAGCCTGATCATGCTCTTATATTAACAATTAGACATTACAATTGTTAACAATTAATGTAGTGGAAATTTTTTTGCCCCGAAAGTGATGGGAAAGCTCTGGTGGAGTCACAAAAGGTGGTGGAGGCATATATCTTGCCAGGGAGGGCATATTCCTAAATACTTATATATTTATTTATTAAAGTGATATTATTCTCATTGGAAAATGCAAATTCAATTCAAATTCAATATAGTGTAACCTTAGTGTGAGTTTGAGTGAATAATCTATCTCACAACTGTCATTTTCAGTTAGAATCTTGATTAATAACTGATTATATGAGCATAAATCTTAGTGGGCTTAGTCCTCATATCCTTACAACCCACTGATGGCCTGGGCCTTTATTTTTCCTTAATGAAGTCTTAGAAGTGAAATTACATCACTTAGCATTAGAATTTTTTACTTATTGCTAAAATACTGCAGCTCTGAAGTGACAAATGTTCAATACATCTGGAAATTATGATGCTCATGAAGATATATGTAACAGCATTTTCCAATTTTCAAAAAACCCCATTGAAATTTCCCAAGAAAATTTTCAGATAATTTGCCTGTTATTCCTCCTCTAGCTCTCTGTCATCCACTTTGGTTTCTGTACTGTTTGTACAGTATTGAAGTCTCAGTCATTTGTCATTGCCAATATATAGCATGAATACATATTTAGTTTATGGTGTAGTCAGCAACCACCAAATACTGTCTATCATGTTTGAACCT